CCCTCCTCCTCCTCCGCAGTGTCCAGGCCCCGGAGCTCCCCGGACGACCTGAAGGCGCTGACTCGGAACGTGAACCGGCTGAACGAGAGCTTCCGGGACTTGCAGCTGCGGCTGCTGCAGGCTCCGCTGCAGGCCGAGCTGAGCGAGCAGGTGTGGAAGGCGCAGGACGCGCTGCAGAACCAGTCGGACTCGCTGCTGGCGCTGGCGGGCGCGGTGCAGCGGCTGGAGGGGGCGCTGTGGGGACTCCAGGCGCAGGCAACGCAGAGCGAGCAGGCGGTGGCCCTGCTACGCGACCGCACGGCCCAGCAGAGCGACGCGGCGCAGCTGGAGCTCTACCAACTGCAGGTGGAGAGCAACCGCAGCCAGCTGCTGCTGCGGCGCCACGCCGGCCTGCTGGACTGGGCGACGAGCTGGCCGACGTGGGCGGCGCCCTGCGCGGCCTCAACCTCAGCCTGTCCTACGACGTGGCCCTGCAGGGCACGCAGCTGCGGGACCTGCAGGTGCTGGTGAGCAACGCCAGCGAGGACGCGCGCCGCATGCGCCTCGTGCACCGGAGCCTGGAGCTGCAGCTCAAGCAGGAGCTGGCCGTGCTCAACAGCGTCACCGAGGACCTGCGCCTCAAGGACTGGGAGCATTCCATCGCGCTGCGCAACATCTCCCTGGCCAAAGGTATCCCCGACCGCCCGGGACCCCGGGGGCTGCTTGCGCCCTCCTTCTCAGGCCTTCTTCCCGCACCTGCCTCCCCAAGGTCCGGGAGTACCCCTCCCTCCCCGAACCCGCTCCCCTTTCATGAAGTCTTGCCCTCCAGGACCTTGGAGTCTTCAGCCCAAACGGACTGTGCCCATTTCCAGGCCCGCACAGGATAAACCTCCTCCCTGCTGCCCCCCGCCCCAGACAGTGCACTCTGTCTGCACCCCTAGGCATGGGAATGGCCAAGATGGCTCCTGGGGACCCGGGTGGTCAGAACTTGGATGTGCCAGCCGGAGCCTCCAAGAGTTTGGGGCTGGGGAGGAAAGCTGGGGCTCGGGCCAGACAGGGAGGCGGCCCCCCAGTGTCCTGGTCCTTGCATGGTGTTCCATGATGTTGGGCTGCACCCCGCAGGCCTACAAGGCCTGCACTTGCCCAGCTTTAAGACAGAAGAAAGAGCCTGGAGTCAGCAACAGAGACATGAGTGGTTTAATGGACTGGGGAGTTTACACATCTGAAGCAAGGTCCTGGAGTGACACCCCACCGTGTGCGTCCGATGGGCGGGCAGGACAAGGCGGCAGTCTTCTCTGTGGGGCGGTGGGGTTGCGGGGGGGGGGGGAAGGGGAGATTGCCATTTGGGAATTGATGTCAGGTGGGCTCATCGGTTACCAGGGAAACTAGCAGAGGGTCATGCCCCTCAAGGCCCCTTTGATAAGAACAGTCACTAGCTGGGGCGGAGGCAAGTATGTAGGAAGATGAGTCCGGTGATTAGGGTGTAGGTGAAGCAGACACTCGTTGGGCAGGGGATGTTCAGAGAGCAAGAGAACAGCCATCTTGGGTGGCCTGATCGTACACATGGTGGAGCTACAAAAAGTTGGAAAATTCCAAATTTGAACCTGGCCTTCCAGGCTGTTATAAAGCTATTCATCCAGTTAGAAGAATGTGTTTTATTTTCTTTAACAATGTATTGGCTTCATTTATCACTCTTGAATATAATGGCAAAAATGCACGGGCCTCCATTCGGACTCTCGCTCGGGGTCCACCGACATCAACACCTTTCCAGCCAACCTTCCTCTCTTGCACCCCTGACTGACCACTCCTGCGCTCCCCTCTCCCCCATTCCTTCCCGCTGCTGTCTGCCCTGCATGTCACTGTCAGAGTGTTCATGAAATGTACTCTTCCTGCATGACCCCCTGCTCAGAACCCAGGTCTGCGGGGTTCCCCAAAAACTCCTCAGGCTGACAGTGGACAATGCTAATACCATTTTGAACACCAGCTATGTCAGGTACCGCGCCAAGTGTATCTCACAGAGTGTCTTTTGAAAACAACCATGAATGTGCTGAGATTCAGGAAGCTGCCCACAGTTGCAGGCTAGGAGGTGATGGGGCCAGGACTTGAACCCTAGCTCTTCTGATCCCAGAGCTGATGTGCCTTCCGTCACATCCCTGGCCCCAGCCTGTCTTTCCTGCCTTCTCCTCTAACTGGTCCCCTGTACCAGGGGTTACAAACAGAACTGTCTGCAGGGGCCAGTCGAGCAATGTCAATGCCTAAAATGACTTTGGTGTCAGGGGAGTACTAGGGGCTGTGGCAGGTCCAGCCCATTTTGGCCTGGCATTGATAAGGTCTTCGCATTTTTTCCAGAGAAACTGGAAACATGGAATGTTCTAGAAATTTTTAATTATTTGACTCTGTGGGCCAAATACAGCACATCTGTGGGTCATGCATGGTCCACAGACGGCCATCTTGCATCCCCTGCCCTATGTGAAGCATCCAGTCCAGTGGGACACGTCTTGTCCCTGCCCCAGAGACACAGCCCACCTTTCCCACTGCCTTAGCTTTACTCCAGCGGTTCCTTCCACTGCAAAACCTCCTTCTTCCTCCTTGTGATCCAGATTCCACTGATCCTTCCCATCTGAGTCAAACCCATCTCCTCCAGGAGCCCGCTGGCCTCTCTAGCTCACCTAAGTCTCCCTTCTCTGGGATTCTGTATTTATCAGAGCAGAAGGTAGTCATGATGGAGACTTATATTTGCACGGTACTTTCAGATCCAGGTAATAATAATAGAACATTATTTTGTTTTAAAGTGGGTCCCCATCACCAGCTACGAGCTTGGTTGAAGGCAGGTTTCACTCTGGAGAGCGGGTAGGATTCCTGCAGAAAAGCAACTGAGGCTGCAGGAGAAAATACCAGGCTTACTCCAGGACACACAATTAGAAATGATCCAACCCAGGGCTTTTGTATTCAACAGCTTTAATAAGGTATAATTTACATGCCGTCGGATTCACCCATTTTAAATGTGCCATTCGGTCACCAGCCCACGACTTTCAACTCAACGCCAGTGCTCAATCTGTCACAGCCAGTCACCCTCAGCTGTCCACCCCTGTGTCCCCCAGCACCTGACAGTGTGATACATGTGACTGGAACTCGAGGAATGTTTGTGGAACAGCTGTTACATCTTTTGAACCTGTGCCATCATTGGATCAGTTTTCTTGTCCTGGGTCACTTTGGTTTCATGTCTCAGAAATCAAAGGAGAGCAGGCGGTAGCAGGTCTCCTTCCAAATCCACACCCCTGGGGTCTTAGCTTTTCCCATCTTTTCATATCCTTGACCTCCCCAGTCTGTTCAGTACTTAATAATAGCAGCGACACCGAATCATAACCTACCACGAGCCAGACATTTTGTCGACATTTATTCTCTAAGTAGACATTAAAGACTGCTAATCCTCACATCCTGCAAAAAAGGTATTATTGAACCCATTTTGTAGCTGAGAAACTCGAATAACTTTCCCAGTGTTTCTTACACAATTGGCAAGTGACGAAGCCAAGATTTAAAGTGGGTCTTTCTGGCTCAGAAACCATGTTTTTTCACTGACCGTGGTGCTTTCTGGGGTGGAGAGAGACCAGCTAGCAGCCATGAAGTGAGAAGGGAGCGTGGTCCCTCGGGTCTATTCCCGTATTTGGGGGGTAGGCCCTACCAGGCGCTCCCCCTTCCTTCTCCCGGTCAACAGACATCACCAGGCTTCCTGCTGGTGCAGCCTCTTTGGCCTCACCGAACATTTCGCATCCTGATTCTTTAATGTCTGAGTCCCTCTCCTTGGCTCGGGCTGAAGCGGCTCTGGGTCATGCATTTGCCATGGTTCTTCTGGTGGAATCCTCTAAGCAGTCTTTCTTTGGTTCTGAAACTAAGTTTCACACTTGGTTCCTTTGAACTGAAGTGTCATCTGGGTTCTGCCCAGACCTGCCTTCCAGTCTTCAAGCTTGGCATTATTGATGGGTTGCTGGCTCTTTAGCGATGAACACCATTCGGCCCCTGTATCTCCCAGGACCACCACTGTGGCTGGTGTCTCCCCTTCCCACCTCCCTCTCTCATGGTTGTTAGGGACCCAGTTGGTATGATTAAAGAGAGTTCTGTTTGGTGTATCTGAATGTAATTACCATTCAACTTCAACAGCACAAAACTCGACCCTGGCTTTTAGATCAGGGATGTTTTACCAGATAAGCTTTCCTGCATTTTTACACTGCTGTCTGAGTGGCCTTTCTTTACTAGTTTTGTTCAGTTCCTCTCTTAGTCTTTAAACACACACACACACACACACACACACACACACACACACACACACACACTTTGCCCTTTCCTGGCTCAGAATCCACAAATACCCCAACTATGTATATTTTTCAAATATAAGCTTGTTTATGTTATTCTGGAGCTTAACCCCAAACGGTTTCGTTCTCTCACTTTGTTACACAGTTTTCTATGAGTTTTGTCTCTGGGTTTGTCTTTTGTGTACATTCACAGTGGGGCTTTCTGTTTTCTGCTTTGGATTTTCAGCATTTGTCAAGTCTGTTGAAATCTCTCTGTGGCTCTGAAAGAAGCAGAGAACTTAGATGATCAGACAGCAGTCCAGCCACATGCAGGTGGCTCAAGTCGCTACATGGGTGTTTATAGATTCACAGAAGGTTAGAGTGACAATAGGGCTCTGAAATCACCTAGTCCACTACCCTCATTTTGTAGTTGAGGCCCTTGAGGCTCAGAGAGGGGAAATGACTTGCCTACATCAAATCCCCAGCCAGTGCCTCGGCTGGGCTAGAAGATTCATCTCTCAATTAGTGAAAGCAAATTGACAAAGCAATCTTATCTGTGGGCTGCTGTTTCGAGAAAAAACACCCACAGAGAGTCCCACTCAACAAATGTTCATGATGGGAATGGGGTCTTGGGTTCCAGGCTGGCACGGTGGACCCTGGTCTCTGGTGCACAGGGATGTGCATCCCTGAAGGTGGTGGGCGTCTCTGTGAACGGAGGTGTTTCTATCCCACCACGGGCTAGGAAGCATGGACTGGTGGCGCCCTCCCCAACCCCGGGGCAGGCTGCAGGGGGCTCTGCTGGGAGGGGAATGGAACGCCTGCTGTGGAAATTAGCAGTTGCCCCTAGCCTTGCCCACCAGCCCTCTGCCTGAGGCTCAGAAGAAAGCTGGCTTTGCAGGCTGGGCCACGGCCCTATGCACACGCTCAGGGTCCCAGAGAGGATGCATGAAATGAAGTGAGAGAGCTCTTGGTACTGTAAACGTCATAGCGCTGAGAATGCAGAGCCCCAGTGACATCAGGACAATGGAAGCAGGGAGCCGACCTCTGGCAGCCGCCCCAGGATTAGCGTGGTTCTGCAGTGGTGTTTACATTACGAGCTTGGTCACCGTTCTGCTGGCTTCGGGCCCGAGGCATCAGCTGTCATGATCATTTGTTCTTGGCAGGGCACACTGTCTAGATTCCAGCACACATGAGTCCCCCACCCCGTCTCTCGTTCCAGGATCCGGGAAGGGAGAACGGATTGCTTTTCCCTCCCCATTGGCTGGTCCCCAGAAGAATCCTGGTGTTTCTCCCAAATGCTCAGTCCCAAATCCTTTGTTCTGTGCTGGAGATGCTTCCAGCTGGAGCGGCTCACGGCAGCCCAGCGAGGGCAGAGCTGCGCTGGGGGCAGCATGGGGGGTG